GATTTTGCTAGGTAAAAATGCCGTATGTGCAGTATGTACTACATTTTCAACAGAAATTAACAGAAGAACCAGAACGTGTACATCCTATACATGATATTTTGGACGTTTTGCAGGGTATTTTACAATTTTTAATATATTGTGTTGCAAATAATATTTAATTGTTGTTTAATTTAAAACAACGCAAAACACATACGAATTTAATTTGTTAAAAACATCGTATTTCAACGCTTCTGCTAGAGAAGAAAGCCGTATGTGGTCACATGCGGCGTTTATACTATGTACCTACCTCTTAATGAAATACATGTAATAAGTCTGCTAAGTGACACAATATTAGAAATTTAAAATGTACAAATTTTTAAATTTAAAGAAACGAAAACGATATATTTGATATTTATAGATGGGCATTGTATAATGAGATATAGATTTCGAAAATGTAATTATCTCAATTTGTCACAAAACTGCATTTACGGGCTTTTTCCGAAGTAGGGCAGTATAGTATAATTAAAAAAACATACAAGGAGACAAAATTTTTAGTTACATATAAAATTTCACTTTATAAACACTTTTTTTTCTCGAAAATAAACAGACGAATCAAGGAATTTGTTGAATGATGCAAAGATCTGCCGATTTTAATCCTTTCCTTCGGTCGATTGATCGATGCTATCACAGGGGAACGGGATGTGCACGCAAACCAAACCGCGCCACACGCGGTGTCGCTAAACGGACGTGTTCTATTCAAAAATTTCCACGCAAATGCGGGAATTCCGCAGGTCTCATCGACATGCGGGAAATTGCTGGAATGCTGTAACGCGGAATGCGGGATTGCAAACCCTAAATGCAATACAGAATTTATTACCAGAAAAATAAAAAAACAAGTATAAAGGTGTATATAAAAATTTTCAAGATTGGTGTAGCAATAAAAATGTTAACTCGTTTACAGAAAATGTAGTCGTAGATAAAGTATAGTATTCAACTTTCGGTAATGGTCATAACTCACTTGATGAATTACAGCACTCGCCTGCGGCTCGTGCTGCACACTTCATCTGCGTGAGTTATGACCTGCATTACCGCTCGTTAAATAATATACTATTACTGATGATGACGATACTAGGAAGCATTATCTTTAACAAACGCCGACGCAAAATATTTCTGATTTTTTTTGTTTATTTAACAGCACAGTAGAAACATTTTTTTGGAGATATCATTATGAATTAAATTCACTTTCTCATGTATTAACGGATCTCGAAATTCTGGGATTGTTACAAACAGTCTTTTCCGATATTTCTGCTACAAGTTGGTATATGTGTATACCAATTCAAAGAGATTTTGCTAATGATCATGTGGTTATATAATTCGATTATTATTTTTTATTAACGTACCATCAGCATCTAATAATTCAGTACTTCTTTAAAAGGAACTCCGAAGCTGAGTTTGAGAAGAAAAGAATGATATGAATAAATTGCATTCGATTAAAAACCACAAAGTATTTAATAAATTGTACACATTGAATGTATTTTAAATAAATTAATTGTAAAAGAGAGCTTTTTTTTTATTTAGCGTTTTTGTGTAGGTTTAACATACTTTTAAACCTTTACCTGAAAGACAATTCCAAAATAATTTAATTTATAAATTGAAAAAATATTGGTTTTCAATAAATATAGAGCTAGTAAATTTGAGACACTGATGAATATTTGAGCCTAATAGCTTACAATTACTATATTTGTTCATACCTTATTACCAGCATTTTACTAGTGTATAACATATATTTATTTATTTTGGATTGCAAAAGTCCAACAATTTTACCCTTTTTTCAAATAGTCACCCCCACTTCTTGCTGCTGAGTGTGATATTACTTTGTTGAAAATTATAAATATGTTTCTAATTATTTACTGAATCTTGAGAATTGTTAGTTGGATATCCTCAAAGATGAGATAAATCGTATAAAGCTAATATTTTATAACATGAAAGTAGATAAAAAAAACAAAAAACTGTTAAATTTAATTTTCAAATGAAACTAAAGAGTATTATCTGCTTTCCCAGCGTAGAATACTTGTCGTTAGGTAAAAATAGTTTATAAAACTATCTCATTGACCGATCATTTTGGTGCAAGAGGTAGTTTGTTCAAATTTGTTGGATATTTAATTCTTGTTTTTTTTGTGTTTAAAAAACAATTTATTAAAAAGAGTACATCAACAACATGATTAATGTTATTTAAAATTGATGCAATTTAAAACAAATGTTGTTACCAATAAAATAATAGACGGTAAGTGGAACAATACGCCATTATTGATCGCAGTGCTTCTGTACCCTCTGGAGAACCGACCCAGGCGATAAAAGAAAAAATATATATAATAGGTACCATTTTCTCCAACAAAACATATTTTTTTTATATTTCAGAAAAGTGAAATATGTGCCTAATATTTTTTAACCTGTAGTATTCCCTGAATATTCTAATATTTAAGATAGAAAAGTTCACGAACGAAAAAAGTATTTCAGTTCGAGTAGGACATACTTTTTGCTCATATAATTTTATCATTTATTTTATTCAAAATGAACAGCGCTAATTATTAATATTTTTTAGTTGTTTCTACATAGCAACACATGCATTTTATTTAAAATTGTTGCTGGCACAATTATTTATTATACATTTTTTAAATATTTTTAGATATGTGCAACATTCTTCACATGAAATTAATATAGTTTATAAGAAAGCTAGCTCATGGAAATTTAGATAGTTTAGTATTTTAGTTGTAACTTAGAAAATCAAAAGTTCCCTTGAGGCAAAAATAACATTCCAGTTTTAAGAGAGAAAAAAAAATCACTTTCATATAGATCACATGTGAGGAAACCGTTATATTCGCATGCATAAACAGAAAAGATTTTTATTTTATTAAAAGTTAAATATTTGATAGTATTCTTTTCATAAAAGTCAACAGTCAACATGAGCACTCCTCTTTGAATTACTTTACTTCTTTGTACAGGTTGACTGTCGTTTCGCCACCCGGGTTAAGACGTATAAATGGTTGCATACTTTGCAGGGTCGTAGCACGTACGGTTGCCTATGCTGCAGGAGCATATTTTACCGAATATATCGTTCCCCTTTCAAAGAAATATGATGAAGTGAAGTGAAGGAAACAACTAATTTCAATTAGGTGATAAATACCTTCCCAACTGAGCGCTTTACACCATGCTTAGTTCTCACTGGTACTAAGCGCACCTTCTTATCAGCTTCAGAATGGCGATGATCTGTGTCAAATTTCCATTTGGGAATTTGTTGATGTTCGGTTGAAATTTGGTTTCTCACTAGTCCGAAAATGATGGGATATTTGAAGTAGGAGTATATGGTGGAATCTCACTATTTTTTATTTTTCACATTGAGCTGTGGATCTGCAGTTAATGGCCCTCCAGTGATCTAATATCCTGATTTTAACGCTTCATCATCGGATACGGGACATAATGATCGGAAATTCAAAACAGCTTTGATATTTATTGAAAACATCACAGGAAAACATAATATTCCTCATATTTTAAATTTATGTTATTTAATATTCGCTTTATGTAATGTTTAATATTTTTTACAGCGGTTTCCCACAAAGCACCAAAATCTGGTGACCCTGTAGATATAAAATACTCCAACTGGAACTGCCTTTGTTGCCGTGCTTATAAAATTGCAAATATATGCCTCTATGATTTCGTGATTTCGAATTTTTCCATCTCTTATACAGGGTGTTTCAGTTCGAGTGAATCAAACTTTAACCACAAATAGAACTCAATAAATAATTCAAGGGTCCAAGTCTCACCGTTTGTACAGGGCCATATTGTTCGGTTGTTAAAATCATATTTACGAAATCAAATTTGGTGTGGTGTTGATATTTGCACATGTGCATAATTTACTGTAAATTTACAAATTTTTGTAGGTCAGTGGCGTAGAATGGGAATTTTTTATTCCAACTTCTACGCCAATGGCCTAATAATCATTTGGGATTCATTTTTAAATTCCGTGGACAATTCTACATAAAAAAGGTATACTTGAAAGTCGGTATAGTATATTGTTTTACCGAATATCTCAATGGAATGGGAGAATCATAACATAACTACTATATGTTTTGCAAAATTCTGCCTCTTACTTTGAAGGTTTGACCTGTGTTGAATTTTCAATTTTCTAAAAGCTTTCGATTTGTTCTGTACTTCCCCGTTTACATTAAGAAAACGTGATTGCTTTGGACTGTTGCCATTTACTGGCATTTTGACAAAATTTATTTGGAATGGCCCTAGGGAAAATTGTAAGAAATATTAGTGTCACCGCTAAATATTACAGTAGAATTATTCGAAAAAGTATCGAACAGTTTTTTTCAAGATATTTATTTAACGACAAATTGTCACAAGAAACAAAAAAAATTAATTGAATTAATTTGATTATAACTCTATACAGGGCGGCCAGGATTTAATGTGAGAACTTCACCATGTGACAGAACAAAAATGATTATAACCAAAAAGTTTCATATAAGGTGTGTTTCATTTAAATGTGTTGAATTAAGAAAATGGCAGATTATCTTAAATATCTCTGAGGATATTTGACGTAGATTGGCGAAGCTTGAACTAATGACTTAATTAGTTACAGAAAAAGCCTGGACCGGACCATCCTGTATTGCGTTTTTAATATTAAAATAATGTTCTTTCAGAAAATAAGAAAAGTAGGTTATAGTAAATATTTATTCTGGCTTACAACTAATTATGCGTATTTTATGATGATTTTCATCATGAGCTGGTTTGATATTTTGTTAATTTAGAAAGAAGCAGTTTACCTATAATTACAGTTGTTGATAGTTTAAGTATCACTGTTTTTAAGAAAAAAAAAGTAACAGGGAAAGACAAATAAGAGACATAAAAATCATGAGTCACATTCGTAATTTGAGTAATATAAAAGACGAAGTAATAAAAAGGAACGCAAGAGTTGTATCATGACTCGAATAAGTTTAATAAATCGCTCACACAATAGTATGAGAGACGATTCAGGTAAGTTTTTAAAACAATTTAAAGATTTAAACTAAGAGAAGCTAAAAGTTTCAGTTTGAGGTATATGAAGAAATATGTCGCAAAAACACAAAAAACAGAAAAAAGTTTTTACGCCTCAATAATTAAAGTTATATTTGTTAAGAGTATGTTGCATATTTTTAGGCTAAACTGTTGTGCCCCAAAAAAGGAAATCTTTCTCATTTATACATTTATAAAAAATTGTAATATTTTATAAAATTCCCTACTTGTTCTTAACCCTCGTTGCACCGTGCTAAATAGGTTCCAAATATTTTTTTTCTTAAATTGATCTGAGGAATTACTTCATTAAATATTAAAATTTGTCAGTCACGAGTAACATGTCTCTCTTTTATTTTAGATCCCTTAAGTTTCATCGAGAAACTGCTCAATATGAATTTGTGGAGATCATCTATCTTTAGAATTATCACAGTCGTTGTTGCAGTGACAATACAAAGTAGCAATATCGCCTGTTTGGTGACTGATAAAAATAATATTCATCGGTATATTTCTCTTGTGCTAACGACTCAACCGGTAAATTCTTTCAATAAGTTTATATCATAATGATTATTTATTATTTTATTTTACGACTTTTTGGTTTAATATCTAGAAGAGAATTAATAGATTTATTAATATAAGAATTATTTTTTAAATGCTGCTCATTGTCATTTTAAAACGCAATCCACTTGTAAATATGCTTGATTAATACAATGTGTAAGTATAGAACCAAATGCAATATATAGAGTGATTCAGATTTAAATGAACAAACTTCGAGGATCCGTAGAACTTCGGAAAATGTTGTCCATTTGTTATATCTTTTTTTATTTTGAGGCTTTATAAGGAAGGTACAGGGTATTGAAGTTTTAAAAAATATGTGGCCTTTTTTACAACCATCAATTAACAAAAAAAATTGTACCACCCCGTATAATATTAAAATCGATGGCATTTTTAAACGTATATTCTTCAATTTCTAACAGAAACGTTATCGCCCTATTTTCGTATCTGCTAAAGTTACAGAGTAAATTTGAATTTTTCCATTTATGTATTTCACTGTTCCTATTAAAAAATAGTTTGAATAATAATTAAGTGGGAAAATTTGTATCTATGGTAAAATTACCTTTCCTCATGGTTAAGATGTTAATAACAAAAGAGATGAAGATAAATTGTAATAACAATTATTGTGCATCCTGAAGAAACAATAAAACAATATATGTGTTGGTGGACATTCTTTGTTTGGTTAAAGTGTTTAATAACGTGTTTCGGACAGGAATCATCAACATGCAGGTACGTTGCACCGACCAGGAAAAATTCATGTGATCGGGATATACTAATTTCTATAACTTACCTACGTGGGCTCACGAAAATCGAAGAAATGTGCCTCCAGTATCATTTCAAACCGAATTAAGTTTAAATGTGTGGATAGGTATTGTAGACAATCTGCAGTCGAAGAACTTAGAGAAAAAATTAACAGTTTTCAAGATACTGAGGAGCTAAAGTCCCCTAAAATGAAACATTTCTTGGGACCGCATGGTAATTAGATATTCGATTTTGGATCATAATAGATATTTAAGTGCTATATTTTCATATATTTTTTACCCAATTACTACTTATTTTATAATATTTTATAATACCTTAGTTATACCGTATACCAAATACGACTTAAATATCTCCAACACTTGGTAACTATATGAAAAAGTTTATATTTTGTCGAAAACTTCAGCACCCTTATAAACCTGTATCTCCCTTATAAATCCTCAAAATGAAAAATTTTATAACTTGCATTATTTTTCGTACCGCTGACCCTCAGAGTATGTTCATTTAAAGCAGTAACATCCTGTATATATGAAATTTCCGAGTTTTGGCAACAATAAATCAAATATTAATGTAAAAGAGATAGAAATACTTTTGTTTTAACGCATGTGGAGTTATTTGTGTGTTCGACGGTAAAAAGCAGTTAATTTTCAGTATTCCAACTTTGTTAATTTTTTTAGAGGGTATTAACTTAACAAAAAAGTATTATGAACGTATTTCTGTGTATTCTGTTCAAAATCCTTTTTTTTTTATTGACTGGAGACTCAATTTTTGGTAATTATATTTATCATTTATCTTTGTCGCAGTAGTTTCTGATATAAAATTATCAATTTCTTTCAAAACCTATTTCAGGGAATCATCGCAACAATCACTACGATGTTTTTCAGTAGCAAGTTGGATCAATCACTGAAACCTTCCACTAGGAATTTTTGGCCTATTCGAGCAGCTGGTAAGGATGTTGAAAACAAAATCCTGCAAACACTAAAAATAATAAATAGATGTATCGTGTTAATAATACTGGTCTTTATTGGAGGATATTTTATCACCTTTTTACCACTAGTTGGCGACGAACTGAAAATTAACGCTCTTGAAATGATTTCTGTGAACTATTTTGGAAGATGGTCTCCACTGTTTTGTTTTACTATTTATATATATTGTCCTGTTTTTGCATTTGGACTCTTATATCCGTTTTTGTTAGTATCATATCTAACAGCTTTAGCCACGATTCAACTGAAATTGCTTGAAGAAAAGATTAAAACGATGGCTAATGACTGCAATGATGAGGAGGGTAACCATTTACTTTACAACCAGAATTATCAAAACGACGTCTACCAGAGGCTTATTATGTGTATTGAACATCACATAAGGCTTAAGAAGTAAGTAACTATTGTTGCTTTGAGAATTATTTCAGTGGTTTTTGCAAAAGAATATGTGGCTGGTAGCTCTTTATTAATATTAAAGGAGTTAAATCTAGCTTACATTTAGAGATTTTAAGACTATAAAATAGACGGCAATGGATGGATCTTCTGAGAAGTTCAAATTCAATATATCGCTATTTTATCAAAGGCCTATAGCAGTAGCTTCAGGCTGGAATTAGACCACAAGTTGGCCCTTTTTGTCTACCCTGCCGTCCCATAACCTATCCACTGTCTGCCTCTGACCCTCCTCGAATCTACCTGATGACCTAATGAACGCTACGATTTTGATCCATAGCAGATCCCTCACCTCATCCCCGTGCAACTATTCCAAAAAATGATCGTGGCAGAGACAGATTTGTAAGAACACCGGTGATGGAAGAAAATGTATTGAGAAAATAAGAGATGCAAAATTCGGAATCCGCCTCGATTTTCGCAAAAACCATTGGCAGAACTACCGACGTGGTTCGTAGTCATTCGGATTTAAAGCTTGAACACGCTGGATATGAAAAGGATGAAGTAGTTGTTCGCAAATAATTCGCCAAACTACGGAAAAACTTATGTTATGCATACGTGCGACACTTCTTACACTAACCCTTGGATTGTCCTGCACAGCTCTCAATACATTTTCTTCCATCACCGGTGTTCTTACAAATCTGTCTCTGCCACGATCATTTACTCTTGGTTGGAACGAACCATTTTCTCTTAAACGTTGATGGATCCTCTGAAATACCTGTCGAGAAGGAAGTCTTCTATTCGGGTATGCTGCCGCATACAGACGCCTCGCTTCTGATGCATTTCCAGCCGCACGGCCGTACATAAAGTGCATATCTGCCATTTCCGTGTTTGAATATGACTCCATTTTATGAGTTGCAATAATGTTGTATACTTAAATTTTCCACTCACCACTTTTACTAATTAAACACTGCAAAGCTCAATTGACAGTTTATCAATAACTTAAATTGTTAAGCGTTGTGGCAACGTCAGTCTTTTATTTGCCATGGTAAACAGATTTTTGTAATTTTTGGCCTAATAACTTAAAGAGCAGAGTAATTTTCAAACTCAATTTACTCGAAAACCATTGGAAATATCGATTTGGACAAAGATAATATTTTTTACGTAAAATTGTTAAGATTTTATAAATCTGTAGAGAAAATTGTAAAAAAATTGAAATAAAAAAAATTACGGGCCGAAAACCCCCTTCACCAACCTAAATGGGACGCATATGATTTGCATGTCGAAAAACGGAGTAGCCCATGTTATTTAACGTAAAAAGTTATGTAAGACCCATACATTTTTTTCTATTTATTTGCGACCGCTTTGTCAATAATAGAAAAAAAAACAGTTTTGTTTGAGCCCTTTTAAGGGTATATAACTTCCTAAGGGTGCGTTTTAGGGCACATGTTAATAGGAACTTTTTGGCTTATTTTAATGACTTATAAGCGCAGCAGAAGTTTGCAACCCTATTTTAGAAACACCTTGTATACAAAGCTATGAGCCTGCCTCCAGTTTTATGTTAATATTTCATAGGGCCATTTTTGAAGGGGCCCATAAATCCTTAAGGGGCCCTCCTGTGATTCCGAGAATACCGGAGGTTCGGATCCCTGGCCAGGCCCCTGGATCCAAGAAGAGTCAGTTAGTATGTTCTCTCGTTTCCATGTGGCCCAGAACCCAAACCAACTCCGCTTCTCTTCGTCTGGCCAGTAACTCCAGGTCATCTCCGGACTTCTGAACAATGACGAACCTTGTCCTCGGAGAGCTAACCCTGCCCTGAGCGTGACCTGACTGTCGAAGCAGATAAAAATCCTCTCCTCTACACAACTCCTTACCTTCTCCTTACTTGCCACCATTAAAATAGCGAGAACTGAAAAACATTGCTGGATACCATCGTCTTCCAGGTATATTCCTGTTCCTGAATATTCATCTCCCACCCGAGATTGTTATTTTATCAAAGTATTGTAACACATTTGATAAGTACTTGCTGCTGGTGACTGTACAATTTGAGAAAATAAAGAAAGTAGATTACTAAAGAATGCAAATTGCTGACATAAAATAACTGATTTTAAACGCTTTATATAAGAATTATTAAAACCACTAAAGTAAATTCATGCAGTGCTTATTGTTTTAGGTTCAGAAATACATGGGTTAAGCACTCCAGGTTCGCAATGCTGTACATACCAGTTGCATCTTTGGCACCAGTTGGCGCGGGTTACTTTTTAATACATGTGAGTAAAATATATAATATAATATTAATGATTAAGTCCGCCCTTTTTCTTTCGTGTCCCATACAATTCTAGTACCTATATAATTTTGCAAATTGTTAAAATTTGCTCAAATAGATAGATTTAACATTAAAATGCTCAGAATATGTAATGTTTTTTATTTCCGAAAAAATTAATTTGACATAAGCATTACGGAAAAATGAAAAAATATTCGACTCCTCCATGATATTTTAGAAAATAATCAATTATTGAAGGTGCTACCAAAGTTGCAAATATCACACCAGAATACTAGTGAAAATAATGATAAAAATGTTTTTTTTATCATGATTATTACCATTTTTAATACAGATAAATTATTTTTAAAGGTAAACATTGACTATGATAAAATTATATTGATGAAGAAGGGATGGAATTTATTATTGGATTAACTTTTTTATTTCAATTAATTTTTAAGTTTTCTATGAAGAAATAATATATTTTTTTTACTAAATAAGGTACTGTTGTAACTTATCGTTAGAAAACAAGATTGCCTAGTTTATGTAGAAATCTCGAACCAATTGATTATTTTATAAATTACTTTTGTATCTGTGAAGACAGCATTTTCAGTCAACTTTTGCAATCTGTGAACATTTTATGCAGTAATCTTAATTTTTTAAACACTATGCAGGGTACACCTTTTTCCTTCAAATATGTACGCATCCATGGACATTCATAATGCAATACATGCTTTTGCCCTACATCGCCAATTTTCTCGTATTTCCTGGAATATTAAGGGAATATTTTGAATTTGATTGTATTTAGTTTGCAAACGTGTAAAAAGATGACTGGAAACTGTATATGTCTCATAACTATAAATTAAGCGGATTAAGGGGTGGGAAGCGTGGTGGCCATGCTAGGGCTTTTACATCGTTGCGGATAAGTATACTCAAATATTGCAGAATGCTAAGAAAAAACTCGTCAAAGCACTGTTATGTTCCTACGCGGGTTATAGTGAGCACGCCTTTTATTATAAATACTGTAAGTAGTGGCAGGAGATGTCGCAGAAGGACGAGGATTTACATAAATTATTATTACGTAAATATTGTGAGATTTTAATTTCGATACTTTTACCTAGACCTACCGAAATCGAGAATTCTGAGCTAGTCTGGCAAGTGGTATTATGTGAGATTAACCATCATCATCGTCATCACCAGCAATACTGACATCATTATCTAATTAAGAAATTAAAATCGGGACTGGGTAAGTTGATAATAGATATATTCAGTGTTTGGGCATCAAATATTGCAGGTATCAGATAAAAGTCAACCTGTTTCGAAAAACAAAAAATCCGAAGTGAAATTTACGATTCCATCTAATGTAAATCCAATTTTATCCTCCGGTGCAAAGAATTGCGATTCAGAAATTTGGATATCGAATAGTTTTACCAATAACCTCGGTAAAAGTTAACTCCTTCAAGATAGTCATGAGAATAAGATTTATAAAGTGGTAAAAATACAGCGGTTCTGGCAACGTACGTCGCAGTATGACTAGCATCTTCAGATCGACGTGACGCTACGAGATTTTAGAAGCGGCAAAATAGTAGGTATATGAATTTCAAAGGCACAAAAAAGGAAAATTTGTAACAATGACCTGGTGGAGTGATTTATCGATAAAGGTGTGTAGTTAGCATGAGTTATTTTGTGATTCTGGGGATAGGTAGTGAAAATATGTACAGACTGGTATCTTTTACCGTTTATAATCATTTTCGATCTAAAGGCGATTCTTAACTTTTAGCAAAATTGACAGAATCGTATTATCTCTATTTACAGTAGATACTGTAAAAACGTTTAAACGTATTTTTTTAAAAATACACGCCACACAGTATATAAATCCCTACTAATATTATAAATGTGAATAAACTACTTAACCGAACAGTGATGATGATTCATCAATTCCAATGTGTCAGAAGTTTGTTTGGTAACGAATTCTGTAAATTTTATCTACTATAATCTTTGTAGATACCACTAAATGAAATTAAATATATACACCATAAAAGTAAAGTTCAAATTTTATCTAAAACTGGTTTTCCTACTAGACAACAGATACAAAAAAACTACACTTTTACGAAACATAAAAATTCCAAAAGGCTACATCATCAAAAGAGATCAAACCTGAGACAAATAGACATTTTCAACTAATGATATTGTGGAAAACAAATATCCATGGCCTATATACTCCAACTGGCATTATTATTAATATCTGGGAATCTCTAAGACCATTCATCAGGAGAATCAGAATGTATTAATAGACATGAAGTAGTATTGCCATTTAAAATTATGGCATGCGATATATTCTTTATAGACCTGTCATACTAGAGAGACATATTTTCAACCCAGCTGCAGTCTTTCTTCCTTGTTTAATTTTCTCTCAAACGTTCGCTCTTAAGTACAAGTGACATGAATCATTGTTATCAAGCTTCTAAAAAAACAAATAATTAAAAATTATGGTAAAAATGAATCGGTTTATCCGTTCTCCTTTAAGAAAACCAAATAATCGTTATTCTTCTAAGAGGTTTAGCACCTTTCCATATGTATTTCTGTAACTTTATTAGTATATGAACTTTCTTACAATTTTGGTTAATTTTATCTGGTTTTAGTGTTTGTTTACATCTAATTAGGGAATCGTCTATTGAAAAATTCTATTCAAGAACACCCTGTATGTGTAACTAAATCTGTAATGAAGGTAGCAGATTATTACGCTATATAACTTGTTTTAAAACTGAAAATATCTCATTCTAATTTATTGTTTTACATTCTAGCAAATCAGCCCATCAAGTAACTTTAGGATGGTCTTGGTACTGCTGATATTTGCAACGTCGGTTACAGGATTGTGCTTCATTGGACAGCATTTCCAAGACAGTGTAAGTATTGTGAACTCACACAAAATTTATTTACATGCTATTAGAAGTAAGCTTCCTTGATCCTTTTACTGTTTAACTTAGAACGAAATAATTATGAAGAAAATATAAAAGAGATTAAACTTACCAATAACGAAATGTCAATAAATGATAATCTAGAGGAATTATGACCATCAAAGAATGGTACCTCAACTTAATACAACCACCAGTTGAACCACATTGAAATAGTTTTTTATCAGAAGCAGAATAAAGAAGGATTGGTCAAAATTATTTATAAAAGGGCAGACAATTAAAAGGAAGATCGTTAATTACCTATCAACTAAAAAATATTATTACATAATATTTACTATAACTCAATTAGTCAAATGAGTAGTTATACGTCTTATACGGTAATCTTCAATTTTTAAGAATCTAGTCAATGATTCTTCTGTCTTTCATTCAAATATTCCCTTACAGTTCGCTCAAATTTTCACTGTGGCCTGTAACTGTCCCTGGATTTACTGGAATGAGAAAAATAAAAAGGCTCTACTCCTCTTGTTGATAAATTCTGTTAAACCTGTTGAGATAGCAAGCTATACAACTATTGCTGTGAATCTTCGTCTTTTGACAACGGTAAGTTAACAAATTATTTAGGACAAAAAACTTAACAAAACTTTAATTGTGATCTATGTATCAAAGCTGTAAAGTAGTCATCTTGATATGTAGCAGGCTTGGATGGCACGAGTATTATATACCAAAGGCCATAAATGTTTACACCTTTGATACATAGCATTGCTGAATGGTTCACAGAGTCATCAGTCACAAATTTAGAGGTATTTTCAAAGTATCATTTAGTAAATCATCAGAGAAAATTTCTAGTTATTAGCTTTTGTACTGTTATGCTCTTTTAAAGATATAAAGATACATTAGGTAAATCAATTCACATAAATTTGTTAAATGATACTAAAGGGTACTACTGGTATTTAGGTATGCTATGGCAGCAATTTCATAAACAATTTAGTAAATAATTATTTGAAACTAATGAAGGAGCACTTTATTAAATTGTACTAATGAGGAAATTCGTATTTGCCTCACAAATCATTAAATAATAAATAAATTTCAAAGAAATTAACTCAAATTACTATTCCTATAATCACTTAGGACTATAACCTAATTCGATGCTGGGTTAGCAACATTTTAAGAAATTAATTTGAATTAGCTTAATACCTTTAAACAAATTTATAATATATATGTTATATTGTCGGTCGATAGCCGCACGGTTTAAGGCGTCAGTCCTTAAATTGTGTGCAAATTTCTGCCCGGGTTCGATTCCCGCGGCCGGTAGACCATAGATTAGCTATGCTTATACGGAGGATTGGCACCCTCTGTGCAGGTATGGTAGGGTGGAAGAATGTTGGTTGGCTTGGGTCAATGTGAGGGATTGACACCGGTTGGCATTTGACCACCCCTCTAATTAATGAGGTTTTCCAGGTTTCCCTCATTCCTGCACTGAATGGTGGTTAGGGCCTACCAACATAAGTCGTTCCTGGGCGCAAATGCGGCCTGCCTAATAATAATATGCCGCCTTCTCTCCCCCACTAGTCTCCGACTTATGGGCTAATTCTCCCCGTTAGAACAAGGAGTAGAGATATTATTATTATTATATTGTAGAAATAAATGATTTACAAATGTTAATAAATTTAATAATTGTTCCTTTTTACTAGTTTCAGAAATGGATCTATAGCTTGATAACTCTTATGCATTAGAAGGTCTTGTGGAGCATCAAAAGTTTTCAAAAAACGAACACCGAGTCTGGAATAAAATTTAGACTAATCACTGAATTATTAGTTTTATTTATACTAAAATTTGGTGGAAATCATCTGTAGGTATTATTTTTTCTTGAAATATTAATCGAGACATTTACTTGAAAACGCTATAACCAAGTCATTAAAATAAAAAAATAAAAACAAATTAATTAAAATAATTAAAATATTGTACATTTTGGAGGTAACTTTTACATATATAGTATTGGAAAAATTTTGGAATTGAACTTTATTCTATTATTATTTATATTTTTTATTATTATTTATTTATTTCAATTATTGATATTGTGAGTAACAACTACTCTGCGACGAATACTCCGACAAGCATTGAATTACACCTGTGATATCTAATAAACAACTAAAATCATTTGTCAATAGAACCACCAGACATTTACTGGTTCCGAACTTATTAGTTCTCACCAGTTGCCACAGGTGAGACTACCAAAGAACGATCTAGCTATTTTGTTATCTATCACCAGAAGTGGTATGAGTATTGGTGAGAATTAACATATGAAGAATATTACATCTCAATTGGTCACTGCTGCTCAATGCATATGCCTTCAGCATGACCAAACTTGCAGAAAACCACCAAATATGAAAGAAAGACTTAGTGTCGTATTATGCAAAATAAAGTTTTTTAGTGGGAAACAACTGCTGTGCGGACTATTGTCCCATGCAGCTTTGAATTACACCTACATTTCATGAGTTTCTCTCTAGTCACAGTCTGTAGATAGATCACGCATCGGTTGTCTCACCTATTCCTACTAATGGAAAGTATATCAATAGATCAAAACTAGGTTTTGCTTGGTACGGCACTGGTTTTTCTTTCAAACTATTTGAAGAACTTTAGAATAGATACTGAAAGATATATTTAATAATTTGTTGAAAAATGGGATATAAAATTGAATTTGTCATTTTACCTTTCTACATTCATATTGTAGTGACGATAATACATGAAGTATTAGAAGTTACTATTGTTAGGTAGTTCTGATTAAATAAAAATAATTTGTATATTGCATCTTTTGTTTAGTGCCAAGAAAAATCAATTATTTATGACAAATTTATATCTTCTCTGTGTGCAGAATTACTATTACAAAGACGAACTTTATTTAAGATTGATAAATGTTTATTGTAGTTATTTAATAGTATATTAAACAACAAGGTTTGAAAACGACTCTTTGCACACGAGCGAGACATATTGGTGGACGGAGCCGAAGGCGAGGTCCACAAGTCGAGCGAGTGTGCAAAAAGGTTTTCAAAAGAGTTTTTTACGATACTTTTTATACGACTGCAAACAGAGACCACAAAAATCAAATTTTAATTTAAATCGTTTTTATTACTAAAATTGCCAAAAAAAATTAAAAAACAAAATAACTAATAAAACTAATTATGGACAAACCGACAAAAAAAAAGTATTTAAATAATTGAATAAACATATTTTTAAATTGCACCAACTTTCAGTAGTTAGTCGCTGTATCGTTTTGTATTGGTATGAGTTTTTAATATTCACACCTCCGTACATGACAGTATTTTTCATGATAATAAGCAGTTTCACATTAACGATTTCATATACCTATTTGACGTAGAAGATAAGATTAGATAGATATATCAATATGTATATGCTCCTATTTCCAAACGTTTAAATTAGATTTAATTTTACAATTCAAAAACGATTTTTATTATTCATTTGAACACAAAATAAAAAACTTTAGAAATGTAAAATCTTCACAAACTACTTTAACGCATCTTATTGATAACTAAGTACATAGTAAATTTAGCATATATACGTATAGTACGTACGTCACCTTATTATTGTTGGTTGCCTATTGAACATAGTAATAGTGAAAATTGATGTTAGTAAAACAAAAAAGTTGCTTTTCATTATAGATTATAGACATTTATTTTGTGTTCGAAAATGAAAATTATAATGCACGTATTTCATTTTACTTAATTGCTCAATCGAGTTTTATTAAAGAATGATAAAATGTGATTGACCTTCTACGCCAAAAACAGACTATACTTTCCTAAAGGTTTTCAAAGCGCTGAATCCGATTCCGGTATCATAATTGCTTCATAATATCCTGTTTAAAAAATATCCTAACCCAAAAGTGAGGTTACGTTACACCACGAGGCAATTTTTCTCCACAAAACTTGTTATGACAATTGAAAGTACTCCTTCAAAATCTATTTGAATTAATAGAATAACGCTATTTCTCTACAAGAAATCGTTTGTTGCAATTTTTTAGTTTGGCATATTAGAGTAAACCGTATAACAGTTTAAGATAAATAGAACATTCTAATACGAGGTGCCATATAACAGAGAAACAAATTCTTAACAATAATTAAAAGGTTATGTGTCAAGCTAGCTGTGATTTAATTTTAGCTTACTTTGGTTTTTATTGCAATTTATACTTTTGCTGAACAAACTGAGAAGTTAGTAGTTTTGGGTTGTTTTGAAGAAAATTGTTGTGCTACTGTTCGAACATATGCTGAAAGATTTCCTAATCGGCGGCTGGTCAAGAAATAAAGCTTCATTTGGCACGATATTTTTTAAATTGACGGATAATCTAATGAAGATGATGACACTGGGAGCCAATAACGATATAAACTATGTTCCTTGCATCAAACAGTCGAACTACTGCGTAACGTGGTTAAGGGAGTTATGGAGTCATGTGTTTATAGGGTTATGGGACAAGGAAGGTGGGCATTATAGGATTAAATATATTCTGTTTATAGAGCCCTGATATATTCCGCGATGAAAGAGCAAGTTAAACCACTGAGTAACGTGGTTATTGGAGTTATGGGTTATGGGGTTATGGGAATATATGGTCATGGGGTTAGGAGGTTTGAGGTTGAATGTATAGGATTATTGGGTTATTGTGGGTGTACAGCCCTCTTCACAGGACTATTGTGTGTAATAGGACTTGACAGTTTGGGTTATGAGGTGACTAAATGGATCACAGATTCGGATTCAGCGACCCCGAAAACACATAGTAGATATAGTCTGACCTTCAGACTCTCTTTAATAAAGGTAAGCAATAATTTCTAGGAACTAAAATTCCTTTTAATCCTTAGTGCGAAGTTTGTTGTTATTGAATGTGGATTTTAGTAAGATACTATTAAGTTCTGGAATTAAAAGACATTTTCTTAAAAAAAACTTTAATTTTCATTCCAGTTTTCGCAAAAATATATGTTTTTCTTAGTTTAGTAAAATAAACTTAATTATATTAGCTATGTTTATATTCATCTTTTAAACAGTTTTAAATAAATTTGTCATTATTGATCTCTTGTATTTTTCTCTACGGTATCACGGTCCAGATTGTGGTTCCCTGTGGAGCATTAGTAATACGGCGACAGATACAAATTAATCCATCAATTAGTTATCATTAACCTTATTCTTTTCCCTTTCTCGTTTATTCGCTACGCGGCATCAAGATACAAAGTATTGGTCCTTCTGGGACATTAGCAATGCGATTATAGCTATAGTTTTTTCATATTATCCGTTTAGCATACTTATTTAATTTTTTTTAAAGTTAACCCAAAATATGAATTGTGACAACATAATTTATTAAAATACTCGATTTCTTCAATGATCATAAAATAACCGTTTTTTATTTAAAAAATGTTGCCCTGATTGTTAACAATGTTTTGCTTTTTTATTCCTAACGTTCTATTTTATGGACATTCTCAGGGATATTCTATCGTTCTAGGTTAACAAACTTCTGCCAAATTGTCAATAAAAAAATGTGAACATAATTTTGGGTCTACTATAATAATGAAGCCTTGAATTCATACCAGAATATGCAGAGCCATCAATAACTAGAACTTACTTTACATGAAGTTTCACCATTAGAAGAAGGGGAAAACTCGGCCACCCCTCGCCAACCGACCTGGTTTATTTTACTTAAGAATTTCAATGTCAGATACGTGTTTTGGAATTGGCAATGCTCAGATATATAATATTTTTGATAAATTACTAGATGTTTACTAGAAAGTGCTGGTATAATTTTTTTACATCATTTGATAGGATGTTTAGGAAAATAATTTATTTGAATTAAAAAATAATATACATATTGTTATGTTTCTGATATGTGTGTGTCAGTTAATTATTTTACTTTATTTTTTTTATACTTTGCCCAGGCGCCAATAAGATTTGGTCTTATAAATTATTTTAGTTAAAGCTTGCTCTTTCTCAGGGGTGTTTCACTAATTTTTTTTATATATGTACGAAATGAAAAATAACGAGCGTTCAAATAAAAACGTGGTCAAGTTGGTTTTTGAAAATTTGGACGTAGGGCGTAGCGTATAGCAAATGAACTTAAACGTCATCTGTCAAAGCGCTATATCGCCGCTATCAATTTAAATATTTTCGTTTTAAAAAGCGTTTAAAATGGTGTTTTCTCAAGAACAAAAAGTGTTTATCATAGAGTCCTACTTTAGAAATGGACGCAAGATTGATGGAATATGGAAGTATTCTATTGAGGAATGTTTCATAGAATTTCAAAATCAATTTCCCGGCGTTGTTGAGTACAAAATTTTTCAAAGTGCAGTTCAGCGTTGTGTTAATGTTTTTCGTGAAACGGGCAGTGTAACAAGAAAAGAAGGAAGCGGCCGACCTAAAAAGCGGACTGAAGAATTAAAAGAAAATGTCCAACAAATAATGGAAAATGCGCCAAGAACTTCTGTACGTGTTTTATCACAAATGGTGGGAGTATCAGTCGGTACCTGCCACACAGTGTTAAAAAAAGATTTGCGTTTGTTCTCCTATCGTTTAACTTGTCAGCAAGAACTTCATGAAGTTGATTTTCCGCGACGGGCTGTATTTTGTGAATGGTTTTTAAACAACTACGGTGAACTTCATAATATCACCTTTTTTTCTGATGAAGCCTGGTTTCATTTAAGTGGTTACGTAAACTCACAGAATATGAGAATGTGGTCTTCTGAAAAACCAGATAACTTTTTTGTCGAGGGCCCTCTA